GAAGCCTGGGAGTTACCCAGACAACAGACACACAACTAACAAAGAGAAAACTATACACGTGTCTGTCAAAACACAGAGTCCCTGGAAAGATATTTCGGCTAGAGAAAAACCCAGGAACGGGGGCCACTGATTCTCCATGAAATGTGATGAAGTCCTAGTACTCGGCCGGAAGTGAGAGGCAGGAGCACTGTCGTCATGTTTTGGATATGACGTAGAAAATGCTCAAGAAAAGTGCCAGCTGTCATCTCCACAGGGTGGGGCTTTTCAGCTAAAAAATACGGCACGGGCTTTCTGTGCAAGTGAAGCAAAGGAAATACAGAAACACACTGCCACAGGCTGGCTTAACCTGGAAGTTCTCCTTCTGGAAAAAGGAAGGAAAATAACCAGGAGCCAAAGACAGAAGGACGCAGGAGAACAGGTCAAGAGCGGACCTGCTTCAGGAGCTGCGTGGTCAAGAAGGGGCTGCAGCAAGCAAGGACACAGTGATCCCCTCCAAGAGCAGGAACACCACCAGCATGGAAGAGAATGCCCTGGGGCGGGTGTCACTTCACTCTTCCTAAGATGACCGTCTTTGGACGTCTTTGTCCATAGAGAATAATAAAAATGGCTTCTAACGGTCCAGTATCTATGGAGGACGGTTCAGCCCTATGGTCAGAAAAACTTCTTTTGAGGAAGTGTTTTAAATCTCTCTCATTTACGTCAGTACACGTGCAGCGTGAACTACGAAAAGAAGCAAACGTCTAAATGATAAGCAAAGTGCTGGTCCTAAATTAATGGGCCACAGCTAAGTAATCATAGTTTTAAATTTTTATAAACGAACATATATTTTATTCCTTAAGTTGCTCTGGCTACTTTTCCTGTGTGACTGAGTACAGCGTACAAGTTTTCATTTTAAACAACTGATCTATTAACGTAAACTTGCAGTAAATTGGAAAAGTTTAACTTATTTACGTTAATAGAAAAATAGGTACGTTAGCATTTTGGAAGCTGTTATTTTCATTTCTGAAGAAAAACCGTTACAAGTTAAACACGGGATTTCTGACTAAGTAAGTTAGCCAGTTTCCACAAGAAAATCCAAAGCTCAAAATCTGGGAACTAACTTTTTCAAACACTTTCCTATTAAGCACTAAGCAAAACCAGGTTTTAAAGGTTCATCAGGTATCTCGAGTCTCCACGGAGCCCTCAGCTGTTGAACGGCAGGTATGCTCTACCATAAACACAACCACATTCTAGAAATCTCGAACTTGCCAACTGCGTCCTGACTCAAGTATAAAACACGTCACTCGACAGTTGCTGTGCTTAAAAACATCCTCTCCTTGCTGAAGTGAACAGAATTCAAGCCTATTTTCATAGCTGCTATCTACTGTATACGCCCCCCTCCCCCCCAAATCTAACAGCAAACTATAACTCGCCCATTTGAAAAAAAATGCAAATGAAAAAAAAAAAAAAGAAAGAAATTAAACAAACTTTACAAACCGTGCTCTGAAAAGCAGCAAGCATTTCCAACTTAAAAGGAAAGGAAATCACATCCTCGAAGAACGAAGAACGGCCCAAGTAATCGTTGGAAAGAAGGTAATTCTAACCACTTTTGGATTTTGAAATGTGACCACAGAAACACAGACGAAAGACCAGAGCAGGACAGGTCAGCACTGGATGCTCCTTTGCCATCACCCTCCAACCGGCCACCTTCATCACCGGGCAGGAGTCTAGAACGGCTGTCGAACATTACGAAGAAAGCACATGACTTAAACCACCTGCTTCTTCTCTCACAACAAGCGTTCTTAAGAGATCGAGAATAAGATTTGAGAAGTGACACTGTAAAGCTCCAGCCCAAGCGAACGGGACGCACGGGCTGGCAGTGATGGGGTTTCCAACCTTTTCTGCTGCTCAATTACCCGGAAAAACAAAACCCAAATTCCGTGTATCTGCAAAGAAATTATAATGATCCTTTTTTAAAAACAAAGAAAATCGGATTATTTATTAGTCTCCGGGTTTAAAATGAGGCACGTGTCTGACCTGCAGAACCAAAGCCATTTCGTAACAGGGTCTGTGCTCGCGCTGCTGGGAAGAGGGCTTTCCGCGCGGGTGGCCGCTTTAGGCGCCGGGCGCGGGGCGTCATGTGTGCAAGCCACCACTAGATGGCACCTGCTCACAACCTATAACCCTATCGAGGCCGCCCCGCTACCTGTGTGGTCCCTGGAGCTCAGAACCCGGACTGACCGAGGCGGCTCCTGACAAACAACACGATTTATCAGCAACGGACGCACAGCAAGAATGCACTTTAAATAATCGATAGAATCGCGCACACTTCTGAAACGGCTTCTTCAGCATTTAGATGTATTTCTGTTTGTGTGTTTGTTCATCAGTATTTCCAGAGGGTTCAACTGCGGAGCGCTTGAAACTAATGACCCGCTGGGGCGCGCCTGGGTGGCTCAGTCGGTGAAGCGTCCGACTTCGGCTCGGGTCATGATCTCGCGGTCTGGGCGTTCGAGCCCCGTGTCGGGCTCTGTGCTGACGGCTCGGAGCCTGGACCCTGCTTCCGATTCTGTGTCTCCTCTCTCTGCCCCTCCCCCACCTGTGCTCTGTCTCTGTCAAAAATAAATAAATGTAAAAAAAAAATTTTTTAACTAATGACCCACTTGAATTATTTGGCAAAAATTAAGTTAGAAGAAATAATATATGTGGATGCATTAGACTCTGGGGGGCTGTTTTTACAGCCGGCACCACATCCCTTCAACTGTCCAACTTGCGCAAACTTGATTTAATGTTCTAGCAACTGATTCAGGATACTTTGGTAATTTAGTAATGGACTTGGACGTTTGTATCGGCAGGTGTGTTTACCGTGGCTTCAAACCAGTTCCTTTCAGAGTGAAAATACAGGAGTGATGTAGGCTGTGAGCTTCAGGTCCAGTCTAAGAAGGTGGGGCTACGGTCCTTGTCTCTAGACTTAAGTCCAGAGGTCCGAGTTCTAGTCGCATGGCCGCCAACATCCAAGACGGAAAACCCCCTTGTGTGGTGGAACCCAGCGCAGGAGCCGGCCTGCACCCCACAAGTGACACCTGCACATCTGTTATGAGTCCCACTCTGTGCTCTGCCCCGGGTACAAGTTAGCAGCAGCCCTCAGCCTCGCAGGGGAAACACCACGGATAGTAATTTCAGACTGTGCGTGGGAAGGAGGTGATAAACTGAAAATCATTTCTACAGTCGGTGCCTCCCTGTAGTTGGGGCTCCCGGATGGGGCCAGCCCGCACTTGCCCAGCTGACAGACCACAGGACACCCCAGGAGAATCATCAAGACTGCACCGCCCCCACACTGGCCACGTGTGCGACTGGGGCAAGGCCGCCACATTTCTGACCCTTCCCCACCCACGCTCACTTGACAACAGCAGGAGGGCCCGGCCAAGGCCACGTGGGTGGCCACGTGGAAGGCAGGGCCCAGGGGACTGGCCATGGCGGGGGCGGGCACCCCAACAGGCACCTGCACAAAGGCGGGAACACTTCAAAGGGGAGCACGGTCCACTGCACACGGGGCGAGGCGCGACTTCTAGGTCCTTCCACAGACAGGACACTGCGTAGGTCAGCTTTGGGTCACGTCACGCGTCGCTTCCGATGAGATGGACCACGGAGCTCCGGGGACAGCTCTTTCCGAGCACTTGCCAGGCTCCGCCATCGACATGCCCACGAAGCGAAAACGTTATTCTTTCAGGAAGCTAAACATCTAAAATAAACAGCAAGCATTTCTTCTGTCGTGGTTCTTTCTAGCTGATTCACGACACGGGTGGCCCTGGCCTAGCACGAAGTGCGCACCAGAGAGCCGGGGCACAGGGAGGAGGCCGCGGAGAAGGCCGAGCAGGCCGGCGAGAGCAGGCTGGTGTGGACGGCCGTCTCCTCCACGCAGGACGCCGAGCTGGGGGTCGGACGGCCTTTTACGGTTACAAGTGTGTAAGCGAGTATAAAACACGCAGACTCCCTGCGTCGCGTGACGCGTTGCAGGCATCACATAAGTATTAGATCTCTACCGTTCTGCTCCAGTGGACGTACCCAGTGGAAAGAACCGTTTTACATTTGACTTGATAACTGAAGCAACTCTTCCCAAATCACATCACTAAATTTTTTCTGGAATCTCAGGCAGGCTGCCTACACCGTAGCAGGAGCGGAAACCGTGGGGCCGCACTCAGAATGCTCTTGGTTAAAACACAGAGGGAGAGAAGCCCGCGTCATTCCTCCGTCACTAACTTCTTCATCCCTTACTTTTCATCTGTCCCCCTCTTTTGACAAACAGGGAACCACGTTCCCCATTTTGAGGGACGGCTCGCTTCAAACTCCCCCCCCACCCCCGTCTGTACAGAGTCCAGACGGGAAGAATCACAAACTCCGGTGGACGATGCCTCTCAGAAGAACTCGGAAAAGCCCCGATTACTTCCTATTTTCTCAGTCATTCCAGCCCCATGGCTGTTTTGAGAAGCAGTTGCACAACAGGGTTTCTGAGACTGTTTCCTAGGAGCTGATGACTAAGTAAGTGGGAGCCCCGAATCTATGAATTAAAACTTTCTTAAAGCGAAGGAAAGCGTCTCCATCAAATTCTGTTGGCTGAGCTCGAAGGGAAGGACCCCATGGCCCTGTTGCCCCCGGCCCCGCCTGGCGTCCCTTTCGCTGAGTGGGTCCTGCACGGCAGGATCCCAACGGGGCCAGCCAGTAACTTGGCCACCACAGTCACCAGCTTTCCGGGGCAAAGGTGTGGGGTAAGTGGCCCAAGAAACAGGGCTTTTCATCTGGCCAGCCACACCCCTTACTGCGTCTCTCCCCTATTTAGGAACATGGTCAGCTCTGCGGAGAGATCCAGAAAACCAGCACCATTTTTAAGTTTATTTATTTGTTTTTTAGAGAGTGACAGAGAATGCAAGCAGGGGAGGGACAGAGAGAGGGGGAGAGGGAGAGAGACTCCCAAGCAGGCTCCACACTGTCAGCGCAGAGCCTGACGCGGGGCTCGAACCCTTGAACCGTGAGATGGTGACCTGAGCCGACACCAAGAGTCGGGACACTAAACTGACTGAGCCGCCCACGAGTCCCCCAGAAAAGCAGTATTGCTAAGCACTGACTCTGTGCAGGCAATTTCCACACTTCGATGATGGCATGCATGTGTGCACAGGTATGCACGTGTGTGTGTGTGTGTGTGTGTGTGTATGCGTGTGTGTGCACGTGGGCTTGCGTGGGAGGTGACGGGACGGGGACAGCTTCTCCCGGGACTTACTGTGAGGGCACAGGTCCAGCCTCCGCCTTGTGCCTGACTTGCTAGAGACGTCATCGAAGTCGATACGAATTAATTTGTTTTCTCTTTAAACAGAAACCTCACGAGCTGCTCGGTTCCCCTTCCCGATTCAGAAGTGAGCAAATTGCACACCGCTGTCCAAGCACAGCTCACCTCTACGCAGCGGTGGGTGCTGATCACATCACCAGGAACCAAAGTGAGCCGGTGGCCAGAAAGCACGCTGTGCTGAGTCAGCCGTGACCTCTCTGAGCCTCGCACCAGGAGCCCGGAAGGTTCGGCCACCTACCCGGGCTTTACCTGTTCTGCAAAGTCTACGGCCTGCTCTCGATGTTTCTCCTCTGCACCCACGTGAGGGGAGGGCCCCCACGTCCCCAGAAGCCCCCGCAGGGGCTGCCAACACGCAGAACCAGACCCTCCCCGGGAGGACAGTGAGCTGCACCCAGACGGTGAGCGAGGCTGCTAACTGCAAAATGGGAACGGACGTGCGCGTCTGACTCCTGTGCCCTGAAGTCACCTGAGAACGGCAGCCACTTGGCAAGGTCTACATCTCACCCCGCTTCCTCCCCCTGACCTAAAACACACCTTTCTCTGGCTACTCCATTTCTGTCGCCCTCAGTTTATAACCTCCTCTCGTTTCAAAATGCTGCCAGCTTACAGTTCTACGCGGGGCTGAAAGAGACCTAGGGATGGTGACGGCAGAGTTGGAGCCAGAGGGTCAGCGGCCATAAACCACATTTAAAAATAGCCTGTGTTCGTGTCGGTTAATTATCCACAGAGCTGCTGAGTCACCCTGCTGCTCCCCTGGGACTCGGCCGGCCAGAGCTGCGCCCTGTGTGACAGCACCGAGGGCACAGCCTCAGGGCTGGGGTCTGCGTCCGTGGGTCCACCCAGACGTGTGCACGCACAGGCACCCAGCTGCTCACACCGCACACGCGTGCTGCCGTGCGCCCGTCACACCTGTGACATCACACACACACACACACACACACACACACACACACACACGAACTTCCCGCAACAGAACCACAGTATGTCTGGCTTGGGAACACTGCACAGGTCAGCCCCGGTCTGACCAGATAATCACACACATGCCCCCAAGTCCTGAGAACGCGCTCGCTTTCCCACAGCCGGACAATTACAAAGTCCAAGACCCAAAACCAGCACACCAGTCGTTAAAAGGAGAAAATGGGTGGCGCCTGGGTGGCTCAGTCGGCTGAACGTCCGAAGTCGGCTCAGGTCACAATCTCGGGGTGTGCAAATTCGAGCCCCGCGTCGGGCTCTGTGCCGACAGCTCGGAGCCTGGAGCCTGCTTTGGATTCTGTGTCTCCCTCTCTCTCTCTGCCCCTCCCCACTCGTGTTCTGCCTCTGTCTCTCAGAAATAAATGTCAAAAAAAAATTTTTTAAGGAGAAAATGTGTGGTGAGGCGATTTTTAAGACACGAATCTGCACCCGTAAGAAGGCAGAAGGACTGATCCCAGGTGCCACCGGGAGCTGAGTGTCAGAGCGCGAAGTGCCACCCTCCTGCCCGTTTGTGGACTCCGGCCCACGTCACGGTGCACGGAACACACGCACGCCAAAACTGGGACACGTCAATGCAAAACACAAACTGCTCACGGTTTGTAGGGCCTGGGTACAAATCACAGCCGTGACGTGCAACCGTCCTGAGGCCTTCAGAACCGCACTTCCAACTGCCCAGAACCCGGACGGGTCGCGAGCGGTTCTCCGCACCCTCACTCCTCGCTCGCTGAACTCTGCTCGGCGTGTGCCGACTCGTCACCGGCATGCCAGTTTCCACGCAGGAGCCTCTGAAAGCGCGTAGGGTTCGCCTGCCCTGGGACAGAAACCGTGACGTCTCTGCTCTGCTGGCCACCAGCTCGCAGGCGCGAGGACCTCGGCCCTCCACTCCTGCCCAGGGGCTTCGGCAGGGCACCGGCTGGGCGGGTACCAGTTTCTGGTAATGAAGGTGACCGAACAGCAGCTCACGGCGGGTGCAGGAAGCAAAGCACGGACCCAGGGAGGCACGCGTAGGGACCCACGGAATCACCACAGAGCCAGGCGGGCGACGAGGGCGGTTTGTGCGGGGCCCCAGGTCCACCGTCCCTACTCACTGCACTGCGACCCCCACCCACCCCACGCGGTGCGGGTGCGGGTGCGTGTGCGTGCGCGTGTGGGCACGTGCATGGGGGCGTCCAGCAGACCGTCATCCCCCAAGCCGTGGGAGACACCGCGTCCGCCCTCGCGGTCCCCAGCAGCAAACGCCGTGCCCCGGTGCCCGTGGCACACGCCTGGCCTCCCGCCTCTCGCAAAGATTCCAAACCCGTGGCTCAGGCATGCCGGGCGGGAGGCAGGGCCAACAGGGAGTAACTGTCCCCGAAAGCACCTGAGGGCGTGCTTCCCTGGGCCAATGGCAATGACACAACCCATTGGGTAACAGGGGACACAGTCCCCAAGGAACAGGGTCAAAGACACCCCACGGCACACACGCTCTCGACGCGTCCCAACGGGGCTGCAGGTTTAAATGCGACGAGCGGAGACCAAAGGACCAAACTTTACCATCGAGGAGTGTGCACTTCACCCAATCCGTGCGAAAACCTAAGGACTGGAGTAGAAATTAAAGCTCAAGGAGTCTACAAAATGACAAAATAACACACATCCCAAGTCGCCGAAGAGCAGCGTAACGTGGGGACTGACGAAGGTCAGAAGGTCAGAAGGCAGAAATGGTGATGAGTGTGCATGCGAACTCCGGCTGCTGGGACAGGGCGGGTCTCCCTGTGAGGGCTGCCCCTCCACCGCCCCCAGGCAGGACTTGAAAGTGACCCGGGCTCTCCCGGAGCCAGAACAGAAGACAAGAGCAAAGACCTGGGGTCAGGCCCACGTGGACTGCCACTCGGCCTCCCCTGTCCCACGGAAAACGGGAAAGCGACGTGCTTCCGTGGGCTATGTCAGGGTCTAAGGGGGGGTGGCCAGTGGAGGGACACCTGGCACATGTCGGCCACTCACACCTTTGCCGTTCCAGGGGCAAACCTTCGAAGGGCCAGAGTCGGCCAGACCACCCCGGTGTACGTGAGCTCTCCCTCTGCAGCACCCCACTTACCCTGTCCGTCCCCAACGGTTACACACGCACACGTTCATTACGGGGGGGTGGGGGGGTCCCGACAGCCCTCTGGCCCCAGGGGACGCCTGCAAAGGTTGGGGACACTCTAGGTTCTCTCTGGGGTTGGGGGTCGCTGGCATCCGCGAGCGGAGGCCAAGGACGCTGTGAAACACCCTGCAGAGCCCACGACAGCCCCCCCCCCCCCACAAAGCCACCAGCCGGAAAGTCAACAGCTGAGAAGCCCCAGGCCACGGCCCAGAGTTCCTGGACTCCGCCTGGGGTGGCCACGGGCCCGTCTGCAGGACAGAAAGCCCAGCAGAGCCTCAAGCACCACAAGGCCAACTGGTCTGGTTGGTGGGGGGAGAGGGCAGGGGCCCGTGGCAGTGCGCGGACCAGGAGGGGAGGTGTGCAGACCGAGGCAGCGGCATCCGGACGAGAGCAGAGGGGTCCGCAGACGAGGCCGGGGCAACCGGGGCCGTCCCCGGGCTCTTCTCAGCCCCCTTTTATCTCCCGGACACTGACGTGCGCCGTGACCCCACAGCGGGTCTGCTCACAGACCGTTTAAACACCACAATGGAGGATTCGTGAGTTACACAGACAACCACAGTCCCAAATCCCCTCTCTTTACGCAACCCGCCATCTTGGTTTGTGACTCCGTGAAGAAGCACGTGAGGTGCGCAGGGCCACGCCATCACACCTGCAGCGGACGAAGGCCCCTTCCCCACACTCAGCTGGGGTCCCAGGACAGCTGCCCACGGTTTGGGCTCCCGCCCATCATGACACCAGTGGGGGGCCCGGGCTGGCCGGCGGGGGGGTCCACCTGGGTGAGGGGCTCCCCGCCCCCCAACCGGACGGCGCCAGCCTCTGACTCGGCGGATGTCACTTGTGGCACCCACGGGGAGTAGGTGCGCGAGAGGCGCACTGCAATGTGCTCACCAGCCACCTCCTGTGAGGACCACCCAATAGAAGGTCACGGCCAGTCCTAGCCGAACCCGTGCGGGACCCCGCTCTGTCCCTTGTGAGCTGGCCTGTCAGCACAGGCGTCGCCCGCACACAACAGAGCTTCATCCAATCGCAGCAACCAAGACAGGTGTCCCCGCACGCTCACAGAGACATCCCCACCTACTAACTCCTAGCAGCCCCGCGTTCTGGGCCCCCAACCCATGCCTGGAAGCCTGCGAAAATACCTTCCACATCCCCCCCACCACCCACCCCCGCCAGCTCTCCCCTCCCAGGGCAGCCCCGAGTCACGCTAACCTGTGTGCATCCATCAGACTTCCCAGGCTTCGACCAAACTTTTTTTACACCCGCGAGACATGCAAATTCCCCGCAGTCAGTAACGTTTCTTCTCACAGCGCGTCCCAGCCAGCTCCACCAATGATCCAGGAATAGAGGGGGTGCCCCTGTCTTGGGGGCCCAGAGGCACAGAGCAGCCGGCACCCCCTCCGGTCCCCTGGCGGGAGCACACCTCCAGAAGCAGTCTCGGGCACACGGGCCCAAGGGGTGTCTCCCCACCGCAGCCAGACCCACCCGTCAGGACCCCGGCGCTCTCATTTACAAGGAGGACGGCTTAGTTAACTCCGAGTGAGCCCCTCTGTAGGACCGGGAAATGCCCGCTCTGCGAGGCCAAGGGTAAAATGCAACATGCACACGAACACCACGTCGGCACAGAGCCACCTTCGAGCAGAAGAGCTGTCCCAGACAGAGCCGCTGTCCCCTCCCTCGGTTCCCTCGGCCTTTTTATGGTAAAATAAAGCCGATTCACAAAATAAAAGCAAGGCGCAGCTTCCTAAATCACTCTACGGGGAACACTCCTGGAACCACACTCGGGGGGAGAAGCAGACGGATAGCGGACCACCGGCGTCCTGGCGCGAGCTGTCAGGTCAGGAGCAAGGCCGAGTCCCCGTCTCGTCCCGCACCAACACACTTCCGGGGACCCGTCCGTTCTACGTGCCACCAGGGACAGCCGAGAACTCTGAGTCTGGGGGTGACTCGGCACGCAAGACACCGTCGGCGGCAGGAAAGGACCTCCAAGCTGAAACCCGTCTAACGGTGGGAAACATACGCGCCCACAGTCACGAGGAGGAAACAGGCTGCGTGTGGCTCTCCAGAAAGAGCCCAAGGCCACCACCGGGAGCCAGGAGAGCAAGTCAGTGGGGCGGGGACACGCGACAGACCGGGGGGGGGCCCTTCCAAACCGGAAAGCGTGCGTGTGTTCACGGGGACCGTTCCCTGTTCTCGCCCGTCCACAGAAAACAACTCCCCCCACCCCCAGGCCGCGCCCGGATGTCCTGGAGGCACCGCCTCCGTGCCCAGAAGGGCTCCCGCGGAGGTCTGATGCCAACGTGTAGACTTTCTCTCCCCAACACACTGAGGCAAAGTCAACATAAACTCTGTGCCTCAAGGGGCGGGGCGCCTGGCTGGCTCGGTCGGGAGAGCACGACTCTTGATCCCGGGGTCGTGAGTTGAAGCCCCATGTCGGGCATGGAACCTGGTTAGAAACCACCACCACAACAAAACCCTGGGCCCAAGACGCTGAAGGAAAGCTCTGCTGAAAGGAGGCCCGATCTCCCTCGTCTGCAGAGCACGAGAGCGAGCTCTAATTTCAGAGACGTGCACAGCCAGTGACCAGATGTAACCATGCGCACACACAGTCCCACCGCAAGCATACACAGACACAGAGCCAGAAGAGGGGGGCCGAGAGAAAAGGCCCCAAGAAGATGAAGTTAAAACTGTCCCGAATGTGTCCGTTACCCCTGCGGGAGTGGCGTACTATAAATTTACGGAAACCCTATTTTTGTAAGATCAGGGATCCCAGAGGCGAGGACGCAGAATGTGGGGTCCCCAACAGCCATCCCCCCTCGGCTGCCCCAGAAGGGGCCACGGGGGCAGCTGGACAGAGCTGCCCTGTCTCGGGTCACAGATCCACGGTCCACAGATGCCACGGATCCATTCTCCCGCGGACAGCAGTTTTAGGAGCAGCGCCTTCGAAGTGGACAGTGGCTCCTTTCTTTCGGCACAGAGACAATTCTGGAATGTTCTGGGAGCCACCCAGGAGGCCCAGCACGTACCAGGTCCTCCCGGCCCACCCGGCGACCTTGAAGTGCCCTGTGCTGTACGTGTTGCTGCCCGGGATGCAGACAGCAGTCCCTGCCCCTGCACGGAACCCTGACGGCCAAAAGCGCCCTGCTCTGCCAGGGAGGAGAAAGCCCCACGCCTCTGAAGACTTCCGATTATCGGACAGAGTGGAAACTCTCTCCGCACTTCACTGCTGGCGATGTGTGAGTCAGGACAGACAGGGGACAGGCTCCGCCCCCAGAGTTCATCAGGCCAGAACGGGGCACCACTCACACCCAAGCAGCAAAAAGTCTCCCGGAGGAAGTCTTTTTTACGATTCCAGGTACAGCCAGCTACATCCGGCAAAGCGCAGACACCTGTCCGCTCGCTCCCTGGAGACGACCCGGCCGCACGCTCCTGTCTCGAGTGGTCAACCAAGGGGAACTCCGTGGTCCACGGAGGACTAACTTGTGGGCGTCAAAGAGAAGCAGCTGGGATCCTAAGACAGTCTCTCCCGTAGGACACGCGGTCGGCGTTAGAATCGTGTTCTGGAGACAGCTGAGGAGCACCGGAACGCCTTGGGTCGGTGCCGTCCACGGAACCTTCTCCAGTTCATCCTCCCCGTCCAGACCCCAGCCTCGCGTGCTGAGGACCAGCACAGGGGACAGAGCAGCCTCGGGGGCCACGTGTACCATTCTGCACAAACTCCCACGCTCTGCGATGCCTCCCTAGCGGCCCTGGGATAAACTCCTGCCGGCGCACCAGCTACGGACGGTACCTTCCCTCCGGATTCTAGAGGACTAGCTTCCAAAACACGAGACCCCGAGCATCCCCTGCTTCGGACAAGAAAACTTCCACACCATTAGGCCAGCGGGGCCCCGCTTTAATTAAACACACGTGAACCCAACGGGTAGTTCTAAGCTCGAGCTCATCACTTGGGATCACGGGTATCAGAGCCCACGTACGAGACGGTGTGCCCAGACACGGGAAAACGGCAGAAAAAGGAAGGAGATAAACCACAATTATAAAACCCGTATCACAAGCTATCGGTCCACAGAAAGCACAGACTATGAGAACAAAAGTGTCGGGAACTCCAAAGAATTTGCCAATACAAACACCGGGAGCACCAGTTGCAACGAGGTCTAAGACTGGATCTTACCCTGGACTCGGGAGACCCGGCCTTGACCTTGGTTTTCCATCCGTCAAACGAGGGGACCCCCTCTGAACTCAGAACCACCGCCCGCCGTGGGAGGGGAGTGGGTGTAGCTACCTCCTGTGACACCCAGGTGCCCATGAGCTCAGGCCCAGTGCGGCCAGCTCCTGGACACCAGCACTGTCCTCCCGACATGAAGCGTTAGAGCCAGTATTTCAGACACCATTTCTGATTATCTGATACTTGGATAAGGAAGCGGGCAAGGCACGCAGACCAACGTGAGCTCAAAATAACCTTAAACGGACAACGTCTGAACCTGAGGGCATCAAACCTAGGAGATTCTGAAAGGACAGGCTGGGCCAGCAGCCCGCAGGCCCCCACGCAGAGGGCTGGCCAAGGCACGGCAGCAGTCACAGGTCGTCAACGATGTCTGGAAGAAGAGACCGGCTCAGTGACCGGCTCGGCACCCCCTGGGAGGGGCCCCGCTGCTGAGCGTGGGGGGACAGGGAGCCTACAGGGACGTCCCCCCACAGGACGGGAAGCCCCACCCGACCCCGAGCAGCCTTCACTCGAGTTCCCGGACTGCCCTCCACGCCCCCTCGGTCTGCAGGGGAAGAAGAACAAGTATCCACACTTGACACACTGACCGGGGACCGTGGGTCAGCCTGGCGACAGGGCGGCTACGCGTCTTAAACCCGCCCTGCTCCCAAGGGCTGTGGAATGCTGGACTAACGGGGGACAGAAGAGGAGAGCAGACGGGGACAGGAGGGCGTGGCTGTGGACGGAAACTCAGGAGGCTGGGCCCGTGTGCACATGTGGGCACAGTGACACAGGTGACCAGGGCGCCTTGGGGAACTCGACCCTTCTGCCTCATCACCTTCTGAACACAATTCTGGGTGACCGCGGAGGCCCGGGCTGCCCTTGGTGGGCTCGTGCTTCTAGGGGCTCCTGGCTGCTTTCTCGTCTTCTTCCCCGTGGTGTCGTGAAAGCCCCGACGGAGTCCAACCTCCCCTGTCTCCGCGCAGCCCCACGTCTCAGCTCCTGCCGCTGACACAGCGGTCAGGCAGGGGACCCGCTCTGCAGAGGCCACTTAGGACGGCTCCCTCCTGACACCAGAGACCGCATCTGGGAAGACGGAGGCATTGAAACCCAGGTCCTACGAGAAGGACTGGGCAGGCGTGATGCTGTGGAAATACAGATGCCCCGAGGACCAGATGCACGAGATTCTCTCTCGTGGAGGGCTCCCTTCTGCCCTCCCCCGTCACGACCCCCGACCTTGCCCTCCAAAATTAAAAATTTCTTGTTTTTTTTTCAAGCTTATTTATTTTGAGAGTGAGAGACAGAGAGCACAAGCAGGGGTAGGAGCGGAGAGCGGGGGAGAGAGAGGGAGAGAGAGCATCCCAAGCAGGCTCCACGCCGTCAGCACAGAGCCTGACTCGGGGCCTGACCCCATGAACCGCGAGATCATGACCTGAGCCGAAGCCAAGAGTCAGACACTTAACCGCCCGAACCACCCAGGTGCCCCTGAAGACTTGTTTCTTACATCCTTGAAGCAGAATTTGTATCCAAATCTTGCTATTATGTGACTTTAAAGTACCGTATACATCCATGCACGCCAAACGTACAGATAACACAACTGTGTGTTTATGTCTGCGTGTGTGTGTGTGAGGCGTGCATCATCTGTGGATGAAGAGAGACACCCCCCCCTCCCAGTTCCGGTCAAAAGCTCCTTAGCAGCACGCACGGGGCCTTCCTCGCCTCTGCCTCCTGCAGCACCACCGCCACCGAGGGGGTGTTGGATCAATCAAGCGAGAGGCAGATCCTAGGGCGGAAGTAGAAAAATAACCCGCGTTTTCTACACAACCACAAGTGCGCTAGTCAACTAAACTCGCTTTTCAGTCCTGTGTGCACAAGATAAAGGGCAAGTGTTTTTAAAAAATAAGTTGTAGGATGACCGGGATTTCCAATTGCCTGGATTCTTCCTGTCCTTTCCTAACACTTGTTGAGGCGTTCCCGGGTTACTTATCCTTTCGTGCAACTAGGGCCTGATTCTATTCTCGTAAGTATTCCAGCCCACCCCTTTCCCCCCACTCCGCGGCCCTCAGGACCGATTTTACGCTAAACTAGAAAATGTTTTCCTAATCTAACCTGCTTCTGGCATGAATTAAGTACGACTGGATAAAACAAAAACTTCAATGGGTCTTTGAAGAATGATGCAAATAATATTAGTGAACAGTAAAAATCTTCACGAAACGCTGCGAACAAAAATGTTCCAACACAGTTTTTATGTATGTGAAGCCAGTGAGCATCAGCCTATGGAAAAGGTTTTGTGAAATGGTTTCGTTAAATGACACTATTCAAGTTTATAGAAATATCAAATCGCTTCAGGGAGTTTATGTAACTTTTATGTTTAAAAAATTAAAGGTTGAAACAAAAAAGGTTTTTTTTGAGAAACTCTGATAGCGCATCAAAACCTATTATCCCGGGGCACCTGGTTGGCTCAGTCGGTTGAGCGTCCGACTTCGGCCCAGGTCATGATCTCGCGGTCTGTGGGTTC